ATAGGGATTGTATCTTCTACAACCTCTGAGGAATCTGGGACTTGTCGAGATTCTAATGAATATACTCGAGCTGGCACCTTGGGTTTCGTCCCATCTCCCTTAACTGGTCCCATATTGATCTTTGGAGCGGTTTGAGCTTCCTTTCCGTCTTGCTTTAAGAGTGGACAGGTAGCAAGCTTGTGGTCTGCGCTTCCACAACGCAGACATTTACCCCCTTTCTTCCAGCAATTATCTTTGGAGTGATTCGGCTTTCCGCAGTACCCACAAGGCCCACGGAACGCCGAACCGGAACCCTTCTGGAAGTTTCCGCCTTCGCCTCTTCCGGCTGAGCCACCCCTGGACTGAGCCCCCTTGTCGGAACCCGACTGTCGTCCACCTCCAACTCCTCGTCCGAACTTGGAGGAGGTATCTTTATCCCCATGCCCAGAGTTGCTTCTAGGAAAACCCCGCTTCTTCGCCTGGAAGTTTCGTACTTGGACCCTGGCGCTCTCTACTCGTTGGGCTTTCTCAACGGCCTCGCTAAAAGCGTTAATCTGGGCCACCGCGAGGTACTTCTGAATTTTCACATTCAGGCCCTGAATAAAAGCCTGATCCGCCGTTGTTCCGTCACAATTAACTCAGGGACAAACTTAGATAAGCGCGTGAACTGGCTTTCATACTCCGCTACAGACTGAGCCCCTTGGCGGAGTCGAATAAACTCATCTTCCTTCCTCTCCTGAACTAGAGGGGGGAAAAATTTCGCGTTAAACTCTCTCATAAAGTTTACCCAAGTCCTAGACATTTGTTCCCGTTCCCATTTTTTCCGAATGACATTCCACCAGGAACGGGCCGCCCCTTCCAGTTGGAAAACGGCAAAAGTCACCTGCCGTTCTTCAGTATAGTGCAGGGCAGCAAAAATGTCTATCATCTTCTCAAGCCACCTTTCGGCGACATCCGGATCGGGTCCCCCAATAAACTTCGGTGGTGCGAACTTTTGGAACCGCTCAAGTGCCCTATCGTCACTTTCAACATGGTTGCCCGCCCGGGTTTCCAGGATTAGGGTTTGGGTTTTGGCCTTGTTGCTGCACCATTTGTGCTAGCAGGTTGGTCATTTGCTGCATAGCGGCAGTGATCTGCACGTTGGGGTCAACTCTCGGTTCAGGATTAGGTCCAGAGGAGGTTTTTCCAGCACCCCGGTCTGGCATAGGTTGCATATTCCCGCTTCCACGCCCCTGTCCACTACGTGTGCCTTCCATCAAATCTATTTGATCTAGACAAACATACTAGAACAATAAAATGACCATACATGTAAATAAAATCCCAAAACTTTTACAAACATATATATACATTCCAAACAAGGCAAACAACACACATATCAACAACCAGTCAAGTCACGTACAGTCAAGTCAAGTACAAACATGGACAATCACAAGGGAATGGCCTCATCAAAAGAAATATACACGTAGCTAATCCAACGTACAAAACGATTAGCTAAGGCTCTTTCCCTATCCCTATATACAAGAAACAAAACTATCCCAAAACCCTAGGAGTCGAGACCTAGTCCGTCGACGGGCTAGTAGATCCACCCGACGGGGTGGATCCAACCCCAGCCTCAGGCCCCGCACATGAATTCTCGTCACTCACGCCCTCGACCATGTCCGCGCATAGGTTCAAGATCGAGGCAGCTCGAACCTTAACCTTTCGCGCTCGCTTAGTCTCGCGCTCACGGGTTTCCCTAAGATGAGTGCACAGGTCATCCACCCGATTCTCAATCTCAAGTACATCGTACTCCAACCCCTTAATGTGCTCGGCTTGTTTCTCATTGGCCGCCCTAAACTGGGTCACCTCGGCCTCCAACCTAGCGTTATCTCGAGCTAATTCCTTACGCTCCTCCGCCACGGCCAATACTAATGCGTTAGGATAGGCATACGTGTGTCGACACTCGCAAAGTGAGAGGCGGTTAGCCAGGCTCCAACGAACAACGGCCCCTCCTGGCCGAATCTGGTATGGGGTCACTGGGAGCGCTCCACGAGGTCGCTCTCCAGCCGGGGGACTACTAGGCTCACCATGACCGTCCATCCTACACCAAAAGAGTAAATAAGCATAAATAATCTTAAAGGACGTAATCAAAAGAATCCTCAAATCAAGCATTTCTAATACATCCAAACTAATTCAAACCTAGGCTCTGATACCACATGTGACAGCCTCACCTTCCCCTAAGGCGAACCAAAGGGGTTAGCGGACTGCCTACCCAGCTCTCCCAAGGACTAACGGTTCAGTTCACATCGATTTACGATGTGTCGGAACATACTAACGCGCGTAAACGAGTCACAATGTCCAAATAAAAAAAATGAAACCAGAGTTGGCCATGAATAGTAACCGACACGTCAAAATCCAATCGAACATCAAGCAAATATTTACATGTTGAAATTAAGCATATACAATCCAAAGTGGCATACAAAAATTATTCCAAAGTGGATACATGTACGGTTTGCCAAATCAAAAGAGAAACGGACCCAAAAGTACATTTAGGGTTTCAATCAAGGAGCTATACAAAAGATATGTCCAACTAGCTCAATTCGGCAACCAACTATCAAAAGTCATTCCGAAAGTGTTTATTTCCTGTAAGGAAAACAAAAGGAATAGGGTGAGCTTACGCCCAGTGAGATAATACCACTCAAGCAACCAAGTTCATATAAGCATGAGATTTGCATTCCACAAGAAAGTAAGCCATGATCATATTTCAATAAATTGATAAAAAGATACGGACGGCTCTCAAGAGCCCCTTTCCTCGTTTGTATACTTGATCGGACTTCATTGACCCTCCATCAATGTTTAAGAGTAACCAACCGTAGGCTCCACTTTACTTCCATTCCGTCCACCTAACATTCACCTACCGGGCCCGAACTCCAAACACTTGCAATGTGGTATTACTCGAGTATACCGGAATCGAGAGTCTCTCATACTACAAGATTCCATATAACAATCCCCAAGACTCATTAATTGGCACGACCAAACCCTCGCCGGCTCGATTCAATCAACTACCAATGGGGTTGAAATCAATGGTAACAATCATGGTCGTTGGATACTCGTCCAAACGATACCAAGTCAAGTACTTTCATTTCATGTAACATTCCATGTAACATTCCAATAACATGATAAACGATGATATAAGGCATATAAGTAAGAGTGATAAAGTACACCCTCACTTCAATCAATATCGATGGTGCAGTAAACATTCAACGCATCAAGTTCAAGTATTAAAACCATATAGTAACACACATGTGAGTAGTACACTCACCAAGCTTGAAAATGATATTTCATACACCTCCGTTAAAGGAGCGTCATAAACCACCGTCACGCCCTAAAACATGCAAACAAGTACAATGAGACTCGATAACGAGTCATAAACCAATGCCAAATACTACCAAAATAGGGTTCCATAAGCATACATAAGCATTAGAGGAAACCAGAAAAATCCGGAAATGGGGTTAAGTGTTAACCCAAAAAAAATAGTTTTTGACATCATTTTATGGTTTTGGTACCAAAAGCACTACGATTATTAGATGAAGGTACAGGACCCACCGTTTCGAAGCTAAGAGATAGGGTTACAGTGTTGAAGAAGGTCACTCTTCCCAGTTTCGAGTGTAACCAGGTCAAAAATGCAATATACTACACCAGAACCGGAAAAACAGGTTCACAAAATGCATTCTGGTGCAAACATCCTAAATCAGGCTACCTATGTCCAAATCCAGTAATTCCAAAGCCATCCGAAAGCTAAGATACAGGGATACATTTCATCAGAAGACCTCAACAACCAATTCTGAAGCATTCCCAACCAAATTAACCAATTACAGTCGCAGTTCTCAAGTTCGGGTAGAAACAGGACAGCAAGGGTAATTCCATCTTTTCACAAGTTACACTACTCCGATTGACCTGAAATTTTGTAGGCATCTCTAAAATATCATTCCCTACAACTTTCATGTTTTAACCCAAGGTCAATTCAGCCTCTAACTATGAGCTACTGTGCCAGGCAGAATGTACAATCATAAAACCCTAACTTTCCAAATTTCTTCCAAAACAGAAATTGCTTGCAATTAACCACTTTTTCCACCTTCTATATTCCTTAAATACCATTTCCAATCATCATACATGACCACATAATCATATTCATATGAAAACAGAAAAATCACCAATAAGTATAAGACTTCACCAATTCAACCAAAAATCAAGATATAATCCATAAAATTGCATCTTATACTACCACTAATCATGAATTAAGTTTCATTAGAGGGAGGAGAGGGGTTCTTCACAACTCACCTTAGCAACACAAGAGAGAGAGCAACTAGTCACCTTAGCTTTCCAAACAACTTCACCAATCACCTTACCAACACTAAGTGAAGAGGTTTTATGGAACAAAAGCAAGTTTAAGTGGTTGTTTTGATGGATTTGAGCTAAATGGAAGCAAGAACTTGGAGAGTTTTCTTTCTTTCTTTCTTGAAGTTGGCCGGCCAAGATGAAGAGAAAATAGTGAATTTTTGGTAAATTTTTGGATTTATTTGGTCAATTGGTAAGACAATGAATAGTAGTCATAAAGTACCACTAATCATTTGGTGACACTTGTCACTATAATTAATGCATCTCTATCTCTTTGTTTTCTCTCACAACAATCCAACCAGCAATCTCTAATTATCTCTTAGCACCCGATAATTTAAATCCAATATCCAAAACTTAACCTAGTTGGCCGAATTTTTTCAAACTTTTCGCCCTAGTGGGTCCCACGTCCGGTATACGCTCATAATTTCTCAAAAACTATTCGATACTAGAAAAATCATCTAAAAACTATATTTACTCATAAAAATTATCTAGAATTTTTTCTAATCACGAAAATGCAGAAAACAAGCCATGAAAGATAATAAAACCTAGAAAATGGGAAAATTACGGGTTCTCACAATGGTTGGAGCGAGCTCCCGATAACGAGTTGAAATCATTATTTTAGGATCAGTCACAACTTCCTGTCTTCACCGATCAAAACAGTCTCTAGCCCGAGCTCTTTTTGTCCATCGCCTCTTAATGTATTCAGGAGGAATTATTTTTATGCCCACAGTATCAAACACCTTCAACGCGTGCCCACATAAAATGCCTTCATTCTCGTATTTTTTGCAACTACAACGTACACTTAGATCATTCCGATTGAATACCACTATTCTTTCAGGTCCTCCATCATACCTCATGACCGCAAACTCCACAATTATCGCTGCATCTTGTTGTCTCAATATAACCATAGCTGTTGACTCACCATATTCATTTTGGAATGCAACAAATACGGTTGGTGAATACGTCTCTGATGCATGCACAAGCATAGGTGTTTGCCTTAACCCGACCATGGGGAGCTTTTGCCTCATTTCATATTCTGCGATCAGTTCATTATGTCTCTTTTCATCAACCACCCGATTGAAATGTCTAAAGAACTGCACAAGGTCATGATCCAGTTTCAAATGATTTTTAATTGTTGTATTTAGGCTTTCGCTAAGTTGGGTGCTTCGCATTCCCGCGGTCCATCTTTCTTTCATCATGCACGTTGCCCATTTATCACGAATTCTATACAACCCGGAGAGCCATTCATTATTTTCAAGATTGTGTTTCTTCACCATCGTCTCCCACACCCTATTGAATTGTTCCACTTCTTCAAACTCATACATGCATGCACCAAACATGTATGGAAGATCACTATTTTCCTTGTAGTGATTGCCAAGATGTTTCATAAAATTACGCTTTATGTGAAACGTACATAGACCGTGAAATGTTTTAGGCATAACAACTGAAAGAGCGGCTGCCATGGCAAGATCTTGGTCGGTTAGTATGGTACTTGGACGCTTTCCGCACATTGGTTCTAGAAATGTACCAAACACGCATTTGAAAGAATCTATAGTCTCATCATACATAAGGGCAACACCAAATATCACAATTTGCCTATGTTGGTTAAAACCCACAAACACTCCAAGTGGCCGGTATTCTTTATTTGTTTTGTAGGTTGTGTCGAATGTAATTACGTCTCCAAAAAATTTGTAGTCAATTAACATTCCTGCATCAGCCCAAAAGATATCGTTATCTGCTCTTCACAGTCCAGTTGTACGGCATGAAAAAACGATGGATTTTCGAGTGTTTGCTCTTAAAAATAATTCAGCATGCTACCTGCTTCTCCATATTTCAAACTCCTTTCCCGTCGAGTACGAAGATATCGTTTCAGTTCTTCCCGAGTATATCCCACATTTCCCATCCCACCTGCCTCCTTTCCCATAAGCTCATGGCTCTGTTTCAATGAAAGCCCAGCGTCCTCGCTTATTTCAGCTTGAAATCCTTAAGCCTCGCTCACTTTTCTTTGTGATGGCATCATGTGCGTACATTGAGCAATGTGCAACTCATGGTTATGCTCTAAGACAAGGTCATGCACACGATACTTCATTGTTCCTCTAAACAACACGATAACCATTTTAGCTCCACACCCTGTTTTCATCGGCGCTCGTGTCCTCTTTGGCATCACATCACCTTTGTACTTGCGCTTCACACCTTCCTTGCAGCAACTATATCTCCTAGATGTGGTCACGCCGTCTTTGTCTTTATTCAGATAGTATTTACGTACACTAAAACCCATTTTAAAGGCATATTTGTTGTAAAACTTGTATGCATCCTCTTCGCTGTTGAACTCCATTCCTAACTCAGGGGTCCCATCTTCTGCCAATTTGCTGCAATCCATTACTTCTGATCCTGCCAATTATGCATTAAACACCCTAATTTGCAACACTTCATGAATAGTATGTACATAAATGTATATTACCATTCATAATGTGTTATGAATTATACATTACTCATATACCAAATTCTATTATTACACTATCAATATGATTAATGATTCACATCACCTTACTTTTACTCTAAGACAATCTGTGTACAAATACAACTCCATGTACACTAACTTATACGGATTGTAATGTATTGGTCACACGATGTAAGTCTATTTTAACTGTATGTACATCCACGCTGGTGATTATATTTTGATTCTAGATTCTTTAGTTCACTGGACCTTATGTCATTCGTTAATGACAACCGCATAAGCCAACTCCACATTTTCTACTATTTCTACATTTTGAGGGCCAAACAATCACTTTTTACTCATTGTAATATATTTTTTACATCATGTAATTTACTTATAATACAAGGTTCACCCATTTGTTATTCACATACATGTCTTTTCCTCAGTTTCACCTCATTCAACTCTACACATCTATTTTATACACACTACACGGTCAAGAGAGGGGCAAACTAATATTACTCCATGAGCATGGACCAATTACTAGATGTATAATGATTCATATCAATTGTAATACGGTGGCTATAACATGTAACTAATTTACAACAAGATGTACATTCATTCACTTGTTAAATGTGACTTTGTTTCTCTCATCTTTTCCTAATTCCGTTCGATGGTTTACTTGAATACATACCCCTAGGTCTTCCAAAAACTACTATCCCTTTATAGTCCATCACTGAAAAACTAAATGGTCACACACACACAGATACGGTACACACATGCAAATATAGTACAACTTCACTATTCTTCTATCATCTTCATATTATATCTTCAGTGACTCTAATTTCATCCTTCATTTAACAGATGTGCATTTGGGTGACAAATTATTGGCCACAGTTACTGACATAGTTCAGTCATGTTACCTTGGTCTGCTAATAGGTTTCACGATTCACCGAAGTCGGAGAGCGTAGCTGCTTCTGCTATTAAGTTGAAGGACAAAATCTGGCTTCGTGAGATATTGTCCTTCCTCTGTTTGCTTCTACCTTACCGCCTGCCTTGCGCGCATTCAAAATAGATACAATACTCTTATACCCAGTTGAAGACCACAGCTGCTTCTGCTATTCAGTTTTCCATCCAAACTTTGGCTTTATCTCTGTTTGCTTCTACCTTGCTGCCTGCCTCTCCACCCACTTTTCTGTCAATTGCTATTTTCATCAGAGTAGACTACACCCACTTCACCTAAAAAGAGCTAGTAGGTCGAATTCCACTCGAACTTCAGCTTTCTACCTTCCGTGAGCGGTCGGTCAGACTGTCAGAGTAGAGCTCCTTCAGAAGCACGCCAAGACTCTTCCCTCAGTTTTGTTTTCTGCGGCTAATTCAAAATTTCAACTTGAATTTCAAAATCTAATTCTCTTCCGTTTGCTCCGTCTGCTCACGTTTGGAAGTCAACATTTTTTTTATTTGGAACGGTGCCATTTTTCTGCCCTACTTCAGCCTTGCTGACTTGGCTCATTTGTCTCCTCACGTTTTTTATTATGAGGAGACCGTTCAAGAGCGGTCGTCTCCTGCCCCGTATCCCTTCTAGGGTGTACCCTAGAAGTTAGTGGATCGCCTAACTGTCGTAACAATTGATTTCTCTTAGCCTCTCTTTCAGTCACTACCCAGCTTATGAATCAGCCTCTATTTGCTCCACTAGTTGCTGCGTGGACTTAGCAGCTTATTGGCAGCAGCCTTCCTTTGATTCCTCTTTGATCACCACCCAATTATTTTGGCAATTGTTTTGCCTAAGTCTCACTCGATTGTCCAAAATATTACTTCCTTAGGCTGCATGGTGAATTGTCTAACATTTAAGGTTAAATTGGTCCTGTGAGCTTTAGTTTATTTGCTTACTAAGGCTATAATTTTATTATTTCATACATTAACTCCTAACTTTATTTGTATTTCGTTAGAAAATTTTCTTACATTGATCTAGTAGATTTTCACACATTTAACTATAAGAAAAATTTATTAGACATGTACTTATTCAACTATATAATAAATTCACATGACACAATTTGCAATATGCCTATCATATATTTATTTGATTCCTAAAATTTTCTACACCATTCTATTATTCTGTTTATTATTATATATATTTTATCTTTATCATTATTTTGTTTTATATTTTATTTTTATTATTTTTTTCCTAAATTTTCAATTTTATAGGAATTCCATTATGCATTTAATTTAACCATTCATTCGTTACATATAATATTTCTAATAACAGATTAAATGTAATGAAATAAATTCGAAGTGTACACATAAATTTCCTGAGTTCTCATATGTACCAAGCGGATGCAATTAAAATGAATAAAATAAATTAATTGGAGCAAATGAATAAATAAATAAAGGATTAATATCAGAAACCTCCCTTGAGGTTTCTTCTAATCACACCTAGCACCCCTCATATTTTCAAAATCACACTTGGGATCCCTAGAATGACAACTTTGGTATCATTGTCAATCCCTCATTATTTTTGTTCCACTTTTACCTTCCTTGTGAACTCTATTAGTCTATTTATGTAGAGTTAATTTCGGAAACCTCCCTTGAGGTTTTCCCTAAATTATGTAAAAGTATTCTGTAATTATGTAATATTTTTTATACAAAGTGTAACTCTAATTGAACTATTTGTAAAACTTATCAACACAAATACAATTATTACATATTGGACCCATATGTACACTAACCACTTATCACATTTCTATAGTAACGATGTACAAGAAATTTACATAAAATTACAAAATATTCAAAAAATGTTACACTATTTAGGGATGGTTGATCTAACTACTGTTCCTATCCTACTCCCTAATATTAAATAGTCATGGAGTTTCCAGTGATGTTAACTTTTTGCAATTCCTAAGTGAATAATAACGCAATCTAAAAGTAATTCAAGGATGATGGGAATTCATGAGTATATAGCATTAGCAAGCCATTTTTACTTGACAATAGGGTATCGCAATATTAATAACTTACAAACTCCATTCAACTAGGATGCACAAAAAACTATTTATACTACCTCATTTTCACAAAAATGGAAGAGTAAATTTATTTACAACTACAACCACATATTGAAACTATTGTCGCCATTATGAGAATCCATATTCAGATTTTTTTTATCTCCGTTCAGATCAATGTAACATTTTTTAAACAATGTGTAACTCTATGTGAATTATTTGTAAAACTTAATAACAGATACGCAATCTATTATAAAGATGTACAAGAAACTTACATAAAATTACAAAATGTTCAAACATGTTACACTGTTCAGGCACGATTTTGTAGTGTTACCAAAGTTGGTGGGATGTGAGTTACATAAATAGAGTTCATAAGGAGGGTAAAAGTGGAACAAAAATAATGAGGGGTTGACAATGATACCAAAGTTGTCATTCCAGGGGTGCTAAGTGTGATTTCGAAAACATGAAGGGTGCTACGTGTGATTAGAAGAAACCTTAAGGGAGGTTTCTGATATTAACCCATAAATAAATAAATAAGCCAGTAAAAGAGAATTTCGGGTCCTCACATCAGCCTTGTGTGAAATTGGTTCTATTAGAAACTATAGTGGTAAATTAGTAGATTGGAATTATGTATTAGGTCAACCCGAAAATTTCAAATTCAGGTCAACCTGAAATTGACCTGCTAACCAGAAATTGACCCGCCAACCCAAAATTGACCCATCAACTTCAGTGCAAAACTACAATCCAAAAAATTCAGGTATAGGTCAGGTATCTTGACCCGTTTGCGGGTTGGTGAGTCATGTTCGGGTTAGTAGGTTCTTTGTTATACCTGGATCTCAAATCGATCTGCCAACCCATTTATGACCCGATTGGCACCCCTACTTTTTCTCAGAAGAAACTTCATCTTAGTGATTGAAACTAAAAAACAGGAATTGTAGAGATTTACCTTCTCCTCAAATGATTACAAAATATTCAAAGTAATTCCCCAAAATATCATTTTTCTAACCTTTCAATTCTTTTGTTTGTTCCCCTTTTCATTTTAGTTTCTCATTTGATTCTCAAGAAAATTCACAAGATGAATTTGTGACCTGATTAATAATTATTAATTGCAATTTGTGACACATGACATCTTACAAAAGATCGAAATTAGCATTTGATGCCTTTTAAAGATTCATCTAGAAATGCAATTACAAACTTTCGAAATGCAATTACCAGCATACATCTTTCTATTGGGAATGATGGAAGAGAGAAGAAGAAAAGAAGAGAAAAGGAAATAAAAGAGGGGAAAAGGATAAATGAAAAGTCACAATAATGAAGAGGTAATAAAAATTACATGTTAGGAATAAAGTGAAAACTAAGACATAACTTAAGGAATGATTGTAAATAACCCGATGGAGAAGAAAAAAAAAATTACAAAGCGAGAATACCCTCAGTAGTAACTCCTCCTCGAATCTGTTAAACAAGGAAAATAATAAACAGAGAGACGGTTCGAAATTGAGACCCCCAGAATTTCACTCAGAAAATACTACAATAAAGCCCTACTTGTCTTTCCAACGAACGAAAGAGTTGAAAGATCAACCGGAGACTCCAGAAAGATAAACGGAAGATGGAAGAACTAACATCAGCACTGAATGCCCACAAGGACCAAATGGCAGATCTGGTTGAGAAACTCACCGCCGAATTGCGCTCCAGTTTAACTCCTGCCTATAACAACTTTATGGGATTCTTCCATGCCATTGACTGGAGGGTACTAACTTGCATTGTTTCAAATTTTCTCTTAATTTTTGGCATCAAATCCTTGTATTTGTTTAGCCCTTTTTTTCCTTAAGTGTTGGACTGGTATGACGTTTCGAGAGGAGGATTTTTCATTTTTTTTCGCTGTGTTTTTTTTTTTGGTGGCATTCTTAATATCTTCATTGAATTTTAAAAAGGGTTGATTGTTTCAGATTGTAG